TTTTTTTACGGTTCTAGGGAGTTACAGTAAACATGACACTTGGGTGAGTAACTGAACGTTCCACTTTGTCTTGTTTTTCTTCTCATTAAAATGTGAAAATATCAGAATAGACCGTAAGACAGGAAGATCTTATCAGAGACTCAAAGGTTTTCTTTGTGGTTGGGAGACAGAAGATCTTTAGATTCGTCTCTAATTTTCCCTCCTTCTCTTTTTTGGAGTCTTTCTGAGATGGGAGTTGGTGTATGGGCTTTGTGTGTGATTGTGCCACTTGTTTGGGAGGACACTGAACTCTGAAGATGCCAGAGAAATGAGTCACTTACAGTCAACGCTTGATTACTCTGATGGAGAGGAAATGACAAAAACCAACCCATGGGAAGAGATGTACTGTTCTAAGATCAGCTAAGATCACACTGTAAATGAGGTCAGGGATAAGAAATCTGGCTCAAGAGCAGCAGCAGGGTTTTTAGAGGTGTTATAGAAGACCCCCATCTTGCCAACATTCCTGCACACACTTGCTGCCTGCTGTTACCACATTTACTCTAATCACACTGTAATTATTAGGACATGCTTGAATGCTTTATAAAACACGGCTTTCAGACCAACTACATGATGCTGAATCCAAATATAATCCCACACTCCTAGTCGCACTCCTGGCAGCTTTATACTTACTTTTTTATATTTTCTATGAAAATGTGAGTTGTGTTTGTCTTTGTTGCTGGGGTGCTCTGGGTGGTTTCTAGGTGGTCGCTTGCAGTCAGAAGAGCCCACACGTCTCTGGTCACTGTAGTGGGCAAATTTCAGAAGTAAAAATCCCATTCATTTTATCCATAGGGAAATTTGATTTTAAAGATAACTTAATCTGTTAAAGACAGACCTACTGTGAGCTATGAGGTTATTAATCGATTTCCTTAATGTCATCAATCTGCATTATTTCAACTTCTTTTTTAAGCAATTGTTTAAAAGTGGAATTCCTGGAGAAAAACTACATTACCCATGTTTCTGCAAAAAAAATCTCCACCAATCAGAAAATCAAAACAAGCTATCTTTTGATTGTAATTCACAAGGCTTCATGGGATTGTATTTTTTCCCTCAGTAAAGCCTTTAAGTACACAGTCTTATTATTCTCCAATTTTTAAATACTCTAAACAATGTCTGAAACTCTGTATTACAAGCACTTCTTGTGTTTATTTGCCTCTTTAGGATAAATCACTTGAATGCCTAATTTGTAAGTTGCTTTGTATAAAAGTGTCTGCTAAATTAATAAATGTAAATGTGCTTTTTTGTCTTAAATTTATGTTGTTATTCACCTCAGCTGGTTGGTTTGGTTCATGGTTTTAACAAAGACTACTTTAAAATCCCTATGGGAGAAATGAATGGAACCAAAGCCATTGAAAAAGTGAATGGGAAGTTGTTGTTTTTTTGTCTGTTTTAACATCCACCAGGTGAAAAATAAGTCTGATCACTTAAACTCACAATTTGAGGTATCATTTATAGAGGAGTTATGCGTCAACGTTTAATAGTTAGTCTAAAATCTCTAACCATAACTACAGTACAGGTGTGCATGATCTGTTTTGCCACAGGGTTGTTCTCAAATGTACGGTTTACGTAAGGCAGCTCTGGCTGAAAAATGCTTTGACCTTTCCGAAGAAACTCTGCAAGTTTCCATCACTAGAGGGCCTGTTTTTACATGTTTTGCATTGCTTAGGGAAGAGTGCCACATCTAGAGGGCCCCACCCAGACCTTCCTTGCTTCTGTGTGCGTGCTTGTGTGTGTCTGTCATGTGTTTCAACAAACGGAGGCATGATTTGGGCCACAGTCACTGCCTCAGACCTGCCCAGAACAGCAGCCAGGGGGTGTGAGAGGGGCAGATGGGGGAGGAAGGGTGTGTGGGATTGAGAAGAGAGGAGGTGAGGTGAAAGAGAATTCGGCAGTGGCCTGTTCCAACCAGTATGGTTTGAATAGTGTTCACTGCTGCATGTGTACGCAACCACAAATTCCATTTCTTGGTAATTCGCTCCAGAGACGTCTGACAAAGACTGCTAATAGACGCTTCTAGTTTAAGGGAATAAAAAAATAATAATTTCTGCAAATGCTTACGAAATTGAAGCAGTAGATCGGTGTCATTCTAAAAAAGTGAAAATGAAATATAGCTTGAGGTTAAAGTTGCATACAGAATCCAGAATGTTTGTGTTTGGATACTTCATACCGCTGATGGGAGAAGTATTTTCTTTAGGCATGCTTGATTTGTGTTTATTTATTTATTTAAATTTATTTCTAATCGTGTGATTAGAAATAAATTTCGTCTAATCGTCTTTTTTGCAATATGTGCTTCTTTGTCTGTATCAAAAAAAAAATAAAACATAGGTAAAAAGTAAAATATAGGTAATTTTTTGTATTTCAATTAAAAGTTTTGTAACATAAGCTTGCATTATATATATATATATATACAGGTGCATCTCAATAAATTAGAATGTCGTGGAAAAGTTCATTTATTTCAGTAATTCAACTCAAATTGTGAAACTCGTGTATTAAATAAATTCAATGCACACAGACTGAAGTAGTTTAAGTCTTTGGTTCTTTTAATTGTGATGATTTTGGCTCTATATATATATATATAATTTTTTTTTTTTTAAATATATATATTTTTTTTATGTATCAAAATTATGCTTATAAATAAGCTTGCTTTTTATTAACAACATGATTAAAATACTCAGAACCATATAGCAACTACGTGGCAATGCCCTGGCATCCCTGCACAACACCACATCATAGCAGGTAGTTTGCATGGGCAAGAACCACTAGGTTTTCTTGAGAAAATATAAAAATCTAGTTTGTTTTATGAGCATACTGTATGATTTACTGTCATTACTACATTGCAGCATTTTGTGCTGTAAAGTAAATTACAGTATACATGTATTTGCTGTCTTTGAGTATTTTTTCTTCTTTTTCACAGCACAGTTTTCAGAGAAGGTTCGGAATATGTCTCCTGATGAGATCAGAATTCCTCCTGAACCTCCCGGGCGTTGTTCCAGTCATCTGCAGGTGAGATGGTTGCTGTATTCTGTTTGAGATGTTCTTGACTTCCTGCCATGGGCTCCAATGAGAGAAATCTTGACTGCACTTGTTCACTGTGCTTGTTTTCTGATAGATTCTAGTCTAATTTGCATAAATACTTTTGTGAATCCGATGCTAAAATAACATAAATTGTGCATTTAAATAAACAGTGCGATCAGTGCTGTTCATTCTTGGTAAATTCCCTCATCTGAATTTTCTGTAGCATTTGATATTTTTATTTGTTTAAAAGCATGAATCAAATTCTTAAAAAAAAAAAAAAAAGGGCACTGTTTAATGCAAACATGTTTTTATCAACAGTATCAGTTTCCTGCTCTTTTTTTTTTTTTTTTTTTTTGCCATATACCAGCCGAAAAACATTCTTTCAGCTGCTTTGTTTTGATTGGACTGCTGCTCCTTGTCAACAGTCATAAAAGGAGAGATCTTATGGGTTCATTGTTTTAGTTCTTGGCAAGCTCTTTAAACCACATGTTCAGATCCTGCCTGGCATGTTTTATCTCAGGGTGTGGCACTGGGGGGCTTGAGAGGGTGGAAGGTTGTGGGTGTTTTGCCCCACCCAAAGGTAAGGACTGGCAGTTCGCCCTAAATCATGCAGCTTGCATGTTGTCAGTACATGTCCAGAGGTGCAAACATTTGAGGTCAGTGATGTCAAAACTATGTTGATGCCAAGGTCATATTCGAACGTATTTCATTTGAATTATTTGGTTTGTTTTATTGCAGTAATATGTATTTATATTTTTTGTCAAATTCCTAATTGTCATACTACTTCCTGCTGTAGCTCTCTCTCGTGAGCTGTCGGGACAGGTGAACATGGGTGTGGTTTTCACACTACAGTACAGTACAGCCTAGTACTGCTAGATAGGCTGTGCTTTTCCACGTCGTGATGAATATCCTGTCCCTGCGGCTATGCTTTTTTCGCTGTTCAGACATGATCCTCATTCCCTTATACATCTGAATTGGTCTTCCTGCTAACTTTCTAGTTGTAGATTTTGTACGAATTAACTAAGATCAGTGTCTTAACTGTCAACAAACAACTTTTCGATTTATTTGACGACTTGGAATGTGAAGGAAAACAGATTGAGGAGCTGAAAATGGCACATCTCCAAGTGCTTCTTGGAGTCTGGTTGTCAAAAATCACCCTCTAGTTCTAGAAACACACAAGCACAAAGACTTTATTCACTCTTAGTGTCTCACAGCACTTGGAGCGAAGAGGCAATTTTTTTTGTCTTGCTTTGTACTGCACATTTTGCATTTAAAAGGGACTCAAATAGGCTTAAAATGGAGTTTGTTCATTTAGCAATATCATACATGCGCTTAATATCAGTAATGAAAGGGGAAAATAATGACTCCCTTTTCTGTTTGTAGGAAAAGATCTTTAAACTTTATGAGAGGAAGCTTCACGGATACTTTGATACAAACAGCCATATTCAAAAGAAGAAAGAGTTCCGCAACCCAAGGTCTGGAGATAACAAGTGTTTATGACCCACTGTGCACCAGATATAATCTGAAGTAAATTACCTATTGGTATTGTTTTATTTGTTTGCAACCTAACCATGTGTTTGTGTTTTATAGTATTTATGAGAAGCTTATCCAGTTCTGTGGTATTGACGAACTTGGAACCAATTATCCAAAAGTAGGTGTAATGCTTACCCGTTAATACCACATAAATACTGTACGTAGTATTCATGTCTGTTGCAAATATATATATTTTTTTTGTTTACTTCTTCACAGGACATGTTTGATCCTCATGGCTGGTCAGAGGATTCATATTATGAGGCACTAGGTAAATTTAGCTTTAAATTAGGTTTGACATTTCATATGGATTGAATTGAATACATCTGTTAACCATTTGTGTGCTGTTCTCTCAACAGCCAAAGCTCAGAAAGTGGAGATGGACAAGCTGGAAAAAGCTAAAAAGGAAAAGACCAAAGTTAGAGCCCTGAGGCACTCCACTTATAAAAAAAGAAATAAAAATAATATTAAAACATTTATTTGTACTGTCTGGGCCACAACACTACTGATAGTTAATATGTGTTCTTACCCATGTGTCTGTAGATTGAGTTTGTGACGGGCACCAAAAAAGGCACCACTACTAATGCAGCAGCTATGGCCACAAACACAACAACTGCCTCTTCCACAGGTACAATGCATAAGTTATATTACTCCTTTATAATAATAGCCTGTTAATAATTTTCATTATTATTATTGAAACAATATTTTAATGGTTAATATTGATAAGATATTTTAATAGTATATTTAATCTTTCTGTATGACAATTATTTAGCCTATTTTTCAAGTAAATAAATATTAAGTGTAATTATATTTAATACAATATTAAAGTGGTACCAGTTCCATAAAAACAACAGTGCTAGTAAAAAGTATACTGACAACCTATCAAATGTACAAAATCAAAAACTAAATTGGACTTAAATGAGATCTGTTCCATTTCCCACTTTTTGGGTGACATAATGTGGTCTTTTATAAAGACCTTAAAGGGGTCATATGATGCGATTTCAAGTTTTCCTTTCTCTTTGGAGTGTTACAAGCTCTTGGTGCATAAAGAAGATCTGTAAAGTTGCAAAGACTAAAGTCTCAAATCCAAAGAGATATTCTTTATAAAAGTTAAGCGTCAACCAAGCCTACCTAAAACTGCTCGTTCTAACCCCACATGTCTACGTCACTATGTGGAAATATTAGCATAATGGTATGCAAAGAAAGAAGGCGTGGTTTCAGAAACAGCAGTAGTGTTGATGCAGCCATGTCAGGGAGACG